GAAGGACCAGTGTCTACTACACTGTAGCCTTCTGCCCCTTGCATGGGGATAGCTTTCGCTTTGGTTATGCTGTTGTAGGGACGGTGAGATCCAGAGTGAACTAACTGCTGCAAGAACGTGCAGAGCTACCTTCCTGCAAGACCTGACAATGGTGTTTTCCATAAGAGTCTCCTCAGCTTCTACTTCAGGTCATGCGAAAGGTAGCATAATTTTATTTAGGAGTTTATGAAGCAGACAGGCTGATTTTTATAGGTTTTTGGGTTGGTTTTTTTAATAACTTGGTGTACAAATTGAATGTCTGTCTCCATAACAGTTCCTCATTTTCTACACCTGCATCATTAAAGTTTCACTCTGTGACTGTGAAACCACTGAATAACTGCCCATACAGGTTGAGAGAGGAGTTCACTGTATGGAGTTAAAACCGGGAGTTGTTAATTAGACCACAGTATCAGATTACTCAACTAAATTGAGAAGATCTCGGAGCAAGTGGTGCAATTACAAAACAGGCCACAAGGGAATGCATGGTGATTCAATTATTTTTTTTTGAGGAATTAAACATGAAACTTAAATAAACATTAATGTGATCAGCACTTGAGAGGGAGTGTGTATGAACAAAGTGTGTTCTCCTTAAGTGCCATGCTCATTTCTTTTACTGGAATTACCACGTGTAATTCACAGACCGACAGCTCACACTGTCTGATCCACCATATGATAGAGTTGGCTGAATGGTGTGTAATGGTGGAGTTATAGGAAGGTTTTAATTACAGTGTATAATATGTGATTTCCTATTATGTGATCTCAGCTTCAAGACATAAAACTTACAGGAATTTTTCCAAAGAAAATCAAATGTTGAGAGGATGTTTATCTTTAAAAGAAATTGTGCATCAATCCCAGGAGCCTCTTTAACTGGAGAAAACATGGCCAGCAAGTACTGTGTCAAACCTCATTACATAGAACAGGGCTGTAGCTTGTCCAGGAGGTTTCTCTAGTCAACTCTTCACCTCAGCAGAGTTCAGCAAGGGCAAGATGAAATCCTGTATGTGGGGGTGATAGACTGGATGGTTACTCACTCCCTTCTGCATTCCT